AATTGAAAGCAAGGTTAACTTTTCATTTCGGGAACCTAACAAGAAAACTGAAAGTATGACATGAAAGTGCACCACAAATTAATGCAACTAGCGTTGCATTTTAATTGAATTTTCGGAAGAATAACGACGACTTGCAGAGAGGGCGACCTCATGGCAACATGCGAAGGTAAACGGAGGGTTTGCATTCCTGCCATATTGCAGGCTAGTGCCTTTGTTCCACGGTGAATGCACAAAGGAGATTTCCCTGTGGAACGTGTAATGCCCAGCAAGATCTTGGCACTATATGAGCTCCGTACAGGCAGCCCTGAATTGTTGCACGATGTTGGTAATCACTAATTTATCAGCTTATATCAGGGTTTCCCACATCGTTTTGTAACATCACTGAGGCACAAGGAACCTTATCTTTCAGATATTTAGCGAGGCTCCTCATGTCATCTTTAACAAGGGCTTGGAAAATTTCTTCACAAATCAAATGTTTTTGTGAACATCAATGAAGAGGTAACACCCGAGACAACTGCAAGAGAATGGGCCATGGCTTGTAAAGTCCCCGGATGGAACCGCTGTGAGGGCGCTAAACAAGACTTGTACAGGCAGAGGAACTGCGTGGAATTCTCTGTGTTTAGACTCTATTTCAAGAATCATAATAACTACAAGGCGTACAAAAATACTGGTTACATCATATTGCATCACCCCCCCAAAAAATGGGCAATGTTACCAAAGCCCTGTATCAGTAAAGGTGCATACCGCCCTCTGTTCTTGAAAATAAAGGTGACCTGAAAAGGATCACGGTCTGTGCACTTGGAAACTACTGTTTCGTGTCTTGTCCAGCTTATTGCAAAGTCTGTTTTATAGCTGCTCGTCAGTAGATAGCATTACAACCTATTTTTTCGCAAAATGACTCCATGCATGCAGCTCAAATTTCAAATTGAAAATAACTGGTTTTACAAATTTTACTTTGCCTTTTCCGTGTCTTGAAGGACCACTGCTCTGATTGCTAAAACGGACATCTCAGATCGTCTGAAGGCTGAAATTGATGGAATGGTCGCTGAGATATTTGACGATGCGGAGGGCTCGAAGATGTACGCCGTGCGCTCTTCAGCAGTCGGTAAGAATTAAAGCAGATTGTCACTGCAGTTGTCATTTTGCAGACAAACAACACCATTTGCTTTCCAAAGTTAATAACCTTAACTTTAATTCTTTTAATTAAAAATCAGGAAAGTATGTCTTTTATTTAAAACAGTACCAACATGTGAAATATGGCTTGTATAGGTTTAAATTGGCTGAGGAGCGAAAGAAATTCACAACATTTTTTGCATCCGTAAAGGAATCCTCGACCACTGCCAAAGGTGGTGATACCGTTTCTGAAGTGCTAGAATTTTCCATTTCTAAAACAAAGCGGGAGAGAAAAAAGGATGAGAGAAATTGAATACTCTCTCCAGGGGGGAAACTTGCCCAATGACCCACCCCCTCCGGATACGCACTTCCGTCACTCATTAAACTAGTGCATGCATGCTTATTGTGCATCCATTTGCCCGAAAATATGTGCCATTCCAGAGATATACAAATTTCACTGTACATTATAAACATCATGAGAATGTGAACACAATGGGTTGCCTTATTCATTTATTCCTCGACCCCCTTGTCTCTCTGCTTGTTAGGTGAGGATACCTCACTTACCTCAGCTGCCGGCCAGATGGACACATTCCCTGGAATTAACGGCATGGAAAAGGTATGTTTTTAATTGAAAAGGATAAGGCTCTGACCTAAAATATTGCTTTTCTTGGTAAATGCAGCATTAATTTCATAACGATCTCGACTGGAGGCGCACTGGGGATTCGTCGTGGGGGGGGGTTCGGACTGTAATTTCCCCCAAAGTAGCTCCTGCTACTCAAGCCCCCCCTCCCCGAGTTGCGCCACAAGGGACTGGAATGTACGGCTATATCAGAGTTAGTAATTTAGAAACGTTTACGCATAGGTGTCTACACAGTATCTTCCTATTCAGAAAGTACAAAAGTGAAAACCCTTGGGTACTCCACTGATTGTAAGCAACGATAAACAGTATCAATTTCAGATACTGCATAATATGAATGTCTGCAGATAGTGTTGCGTGTTATGATGGTGGTTTCTAACATAGTTAGCGCTAAAAATTCTGCGAATGCACTCCATATCAAGAACAAAAGTGATTACATCAGAGCTATGACATTAAACGCAGGCTGTGCATGATGATTATGATATATCCCAAAATACTCATCTGACAGACACACATATCATCTCTCAATTTGACTGCCAAGATCGCAGAACAGGTAAACACTAGCGTCAAATCTACACCAAAGAAATGAAGACTAGCAGTAAATAAGTAGCATAAAACACCCTTTTATTTTACATTTCCTTGCGGACTTTGATAGCTATTTGAAGCAATCCCGGAATGTTGGGCGTCAAACTTCTCATTCCAAGCCGTTCAGTATCGAAGGTAATATATTTTATACCGAAATGTAGTCAATGTATATAAAGGCTAAAGCAAAATACCCCACGTAAAACTTATGGGATACACAACGGAATAGATAACATTAACCGCCAGGCTTGCTTACCTCATCGGCATTATGAATTGAAGTCCGTTCGTCCTTCATTATGCTGCTGTTTAAGCTTTTCGTAGGCAGTACGGCCAAGCAGTGAACGCAGCAATGGCGGTAGTTGTCCGAGAAATCGTAGCCGCAGAAAGCGCGGGTGTGTTTCGCCAGTCATGGTGAATTATACTGCATTATGGCCATTTCTAACACCGGTTAAGCCAGTCGGGGAGTTTCATTCTCGAATAAATAGCAGCTTGCCTTAACTCAGTACTTACAACGAGGATGCATATTGCAATAGACGATTGACAGAGCCGTGACAGCTTCGAGGAAGGGGTTGTGTAGATCAGTGGGGAGAGAGTTAGATTGAGATAGAGAAAAAATCAAGTTCACTCGGTTAAAGGAAGGCCTCTATCTGATTTATTTTGAGCGAAACAGAAAAAGACATTGAATAGGCATTGTTTAACTACAACTAAATCTGAGACAATTTGGTCACAACATGCCCAATTTCAATCAAAACTGACGTAGGTGGCTCG